CACACACACACACACTCACATCTCCTCTGGGCTGCTGTGAATTCTTCTCACTCCTGTTTCAGCCACTCCCCTGGTCCTAGGGTAGGTAAGATGGAACACATAGTATAGCCTTCGTGGACAAGGGCGGAAAAGTCTCGGAGGCCCCATGTGTAAGTACGCTGTTACTCTCCATTTAATTTGGTTTCAAAACCTGATTTTAGCTAAAAAAATGAGTCACCGCCGATATTATATTATGCGTGTGTGTGTTTTTATTCTCCTGTTCAGTTGATGTGTCATAAACAAAGCTGCCAGTTTCCAACTGGGCTCACTGAACAATTGGTGGTCGCCGCGTACAGGGCCGTTCTTTTTTATTTATTCTTTTTTAATTTTAAGCCTGGCTGAGACTGGATTGAAAGTGTTCATGGTCGCTAAACGTATTATATGATCGCCGTGTGAAGAATAGTCCTGCTGTGGGGATACACGGTTAAAAATAAATTTAAAATATAAATTTACAAAAATCACTAAGGAGGTGGGCTTCGACCCTGCCTGTCATGGTCCACCACGGACTGAGAGGAATACAACATCCTGGCACATACTAGATAAAAACCATTCCACTGGGAATTGAACTCGTGTCGCCTGTATGCGACGGCAAAAGCACCAAACCGCTACCTTACAGACACCTGCCGTGGGTTTTTTGTGTTTTCTTTTAAAGAAGAATTAAAAATCGATGTGCATTTATCATAAACGCGGTCTTATGCAGTCGGTAAGCTGCGTAAAACTTTTACCAAGCTATAACTGAAAGTAAAGGTGGACTCTTAAGGAGTGTCGTAGGTCTTTCCCTGGTCCCATCGGTACAGCTGAATCCAACTCATGACTATCACGTACAAGACTCAACTATCACACCACAGACGCCTGTTCCTGATAGATATAACTGGCGGCCAAACGGCTGTACATTTACATACGCATAATTCAGTCTACCCTCACTTTATTGATACATGTAGTGCGTATGGCTGAAGCATCCTCAAGGCTGTTTACCATACCCCAGCTTCTCATAGTTGCAAACGGTTCTTTTCAACTCTGAGCTCCTTTTTCTCCATAAATCATCCTCTTATTTTTTTTTCTTTTTTTTTTTTCTTTCAAAGGCGTTCTTTCTTGATTAATAGCCTCTGCCAACAGAACGAGACTAATGGCTTCTTGCTCTCGTAACAACCACATGAGAGTTGAAAGTTGCATGAATTGGTTTGGTGTT